GCAGAAGGCGACGCGGCCGGCCCAGCGCACGCGCTCAAGGCCTTCAACATTATTGGCGACGGCAACGGCCACATCGGTGTCGGCGCGCGCGTCGGCAAGGAGGTGTCGCTGGCCATTCGCGCCTCGATGGTCGCGGCGAAGCTGAACATTGTTCCCGTGCGCCGCGGCTACTGGGGCAACAAGATTGGTGAGCCGCACACAATCCCGATGAAGGTGACGGGCAAGTGCGGCTCCGTGGCCGTCCGCCTGGTCCCCGCACCGCGTGGCACCGGCATCGTCGCCGCCCCCGTCCCGAAGAAGATTCTGGAGTTTGCCGGCGTCGAGGACGTGTACACATGCTCCTGCGGCAAGACCCGCACGCGCGGCAACTTCATCATGGCGACCTTCTATGCCCTGCGCAAGACCTACGGCTTCCTGACACCCGACCTTTGGGCCGAGACGGAGGTCTCGCGCGACCCCACGGACGAGCACTCGGACTTTCTCACCATGGGAGGCAAGATGATCGCCGCGTGAACAGGTATTTCCTGACCCCAACATTTCGGTTCCATCATTTCTTTTTTTTTTATTTTGTCGTTGTGGAGGTTTAACTTCATCAGAAGGTTTGTGTGCTGTGTTGTTGTTATTGTTGGCTTCCGCAGGCGTCTTTGGCCCTGTTGTGTTTTGACTGACTTCTTTGCTTTGCATGCAGTGTTGCTGTGCCATTAGAAAACTACTCTTTTTCTTTTGTTGTGCGTGTTTGTGTTTCCCCCGTGTTTTTTTTATTCTTATTTTTTTGCGGTTCCTGCTGATGTGGTTAAACACCGCCAAATTTACACACTGTGTGGCACTGCAGAAAATTTTGTAAGCGTAAATGAACTCCAAGAGCAGGGTGGGTGGGACGAAGGGTGACACGAAGGGAGTTAGCCGACAGCGCCCACCAAAAGAGGAGAAGCGGAATGCCTCTAGCGGCGAAGCCGCAAAAAAGGCGTCTGTAGGACGCAAGGCGGATGAAACGCACGTCAAACGTGCCCAGTCCGCAAATGTTCCTTCTGTCCAGCAGAAAGTGCAAGTGACCACTGCCACCAGTTGGGTGAAGGGAAGTAGTTCGCTTTCTTTTGCCGATGTTGTACGGAAAAAGACGGAGGCTGCGGTCGTGACTGTGCTGCCGGAGCAGCTCCACGAGGAAGTTGCGGAATCCGTTCATGAGGAAACGGATGCTGTAGAAGTGACGCCTGATGTTCAAGAAGATCCGGTGCATGTTCCTCCTGAGCAGACTGAGCACACTGAGAAGGAGGACATTGCGTACGCCACGATGCAGCAGGATGCTGCTATTGTTGAAGCCGTTATTCCTCCCCCTCCTGAGGAGGAAGTGGAGGAGGTGCCTTCTGTAAAATACTACGTGCTTGAGATTGACAGAATTGTGGAGGAGTCTGTGAACCTGCCTCCCCGCACGATGACGACTGCAACGGAGTACATGGGGGTCTACACCTTTTCGGGGCAGGCAGGTAAGCCCCCGACGCCCCCCGCGACGACGCAACTTCAACAGCAGTTTTATCGTCCCGAGGCGACGGCTGCTAGGACATTTGCTGGAATGGGCGGAACCGCAGATCTCAGCCGGGGACAGCACTGGGGACCACAGCCAGGTCACGCAGTGGATTACACAAACGCAAACTGGTCACTTCCGGATCGTGGTCAGCGCGTCTTCCACCAGGGGATGCAGTACAGCTCGTACGCGCCGCCGCCACCCGTGCAGCAGCAGCAGCAGCAACCACAGAGGAATTTCATGCCACAGACTGTCAACCGTATTCTGCAGAACGATGCTGCAGATGCTCCGCTGCGTCATATCCGTGACCCGGGAGCATTCAACCGCCAGTCAGGCAATGGCGGAGGCGTGTGGTGATTAGCCACCCTCTTCTCTCAGGGGAAACGGGCTCTCGTAAGGACAAACAGAAAAATAAAGAAGGAATGAAGTCGAAGCAATAAAAAAAAAGAGTAGAACTGCTATCAACGACGAAAAATAGGAAGTGGCGTATATGGCTCTGCACGCCGTGAGCCACTTTTTAAATACCTAATAATGAGGATGTCACGCCACTTGCCTGACAGTGAACACTGAGTACCATCACAACTATTCTCCTCAAGCGGACATCAAAGACGGCGGGAATGACAGCTCTGTGTTCCTCTTCTTCTTTTTCTGTGGGAGGAGGCACGCTGAAAGGAAAGAGTCCTTTGAACTTCGGCACTGTTTTTTTTCCCCTGCCCCCAATCTTTTTTTTCTCTTATTCTTCTAATTTGTTTGGCTTTTTTTTTCTTTTTCCCTTTTTGCGGAATTGCATCTGCCGTGAGCGTGTGCTTCAGTGCAGGAGGTGAGGCTGGGGTGAGGGATAGGGCGCCGTGGATGGCGCAGTACTTACCGACCAGCGATGGCCTGATGCGCTCCACGCTGCGAGAAACCATCATGCGCATCCGCCGCATACGGAAGAAGGCCGGCCGCGAAGACGACAACGAGGAGGATGCCTCTGCGGATCCGCAGCGTGACCTGTCGCTCGCGTTCATCCGCTGCGTCACGCGCACGAAGGAGCTCATCAAGGAGCGCAACGAAGGAATGCGGCTGCACGGGGAAGATCGCATGGTCATTGAACAGTCGAATAGTATTCGGAAGGACATCCGCACCATGGAGACGCTGCTTGAAGAGATTAAGAAGTACGTGGACACCGCCGAAGCCGCGCTCGCGCAGGCAAATCGAAAGAAAAAGCCAGATAAAAAAAATTGGCGCTGCTAGAAAAACAACGCGATGAACGGGTGGCGCAATACAATGAGTGCTTCTCGACACTCGAGCTGGTGCGGGAGTTGGACCAGCAGCGGAATCCAAAGGATAAAAAAGGTGTGGATCTCGCTCAAGAAATGCAGTTTGGACGCAAGGCACAGCTTCGCGAGCAACTTTTGACGCTTCGGCGACAGAGAACAGGTAACAGTAGTCATGCCGACCCCAATGAGGGCATCGAACTACACGGTAATGTCGTGGGTGGTGGCCGGTTAGAGGAGCATGAGCAGACAAGAGAGGCGATGAAGGTCATTGCGACGCAGGACGCCGAAATTGATGCGGGGTTGGATCGACTGAAGGCGGGAGTGGGGAGATTGCACAACCTGGCGCTGGAGATTGGTGTACAGATTGACATGCAGACACAAATGCTGGAGAAGACGGAGCAAACGATGGATGCTCAAGTGAATCGGCTGCGTAATATTAACCGCCGTATGGCTAAATTTATGAGAGAGAAGAAACCGGTAAATGTCTTTTTGAATGTATGCTGTTGTCTGCTCATCCTTTCCCTCTTGGGGTTCTTCCTTATACAGTTCAATGTTATCTAGGGAATCCATTCTCCTTTCGCCTCCCCGCCCGTTCAGTTAAGACCAACAAAAGCATTGGTGGCTGGCACGCTGCGGTGACCCGATCGTTACATGTCTAGTGGGAAAGTCTTGTTGTGTTTGTGTGAGTGTATGTGTGTGCGTGTGTGTTTGCGTATTTTATCATTGCTCATGCCAGTCCCATTGGTGGGCAACGAGGTTCCGTGTTGCTGTTGTTGTTGTTGCTTTTCTTGGTTTCCCGGTGTTGGGTGTGCTGGGAGGCAATGGTGGCACGGTTCTAGCTCCTCCCAATTATTATTATTATTATTATTATTATTTTCTTGTGTGTGTGTGTGTTTGTTTGTTTCCTCCTTCTTGTGGTCTTCAACTTCCCGTCCCCCGTCACTCGGCGCCCGTGGCGACTAATTCTTTTGGGGGCGCCTACACACGCACAGCAATACATCACCAGGGAAAGGGAACAGCTACGCAAAGAGGAAAAGCAGACGATGACGAGGGCAACTAAGCGGCAGCGGGTGGAGGGCAAGGAAACCACCATGGCAGAGGAGGTGAACAGTCCCCCGGCGACCGGAGGCGAGGGGGAAGAGACTATGCTAGGGGAGATGCGGCTGAAGCGCGCGACGACGGACAAGCGCATGACGAACCGACAGAAATGTCTGGTTCTGGGCTCACGCAACATAACCGGCAAGAATCGTCACTTGCTGAATGACATTCGTGGCTTGATGCCGCACGCACGAGAGCATTCTAAGATTGCTCCGACGCAAAAACTCGGGGATGAATTGGTTGAGCTCTGCTCGCTGCATCAATGCAATAGTTCCCTTTTACTTGAGGCTCACCGGCATGATATTAGTTACATGTGGATTGCCCAGGCCCCGCACGGCCCTAGTGTGAAGCTGCAATTAACAAATGTGCACACCGCCGATGAACTTCGAATGGCCGGAAATTGTTTGAAGTACAGCCGCCCTCTTATTCACTTTGACCGAGAATTTGAGACACAGCCACACCTGCGGGTGGTGAAGTCGCTTCTTCAGATGACGTTTAACACGCCCCGCTACCACCCGAAGTCTAAACCGTTTATTGATCATATTGTTTGCTTTTTTTATCTGGACCACCACATATGGTTCCGCCACTACCAAATAGTGGACAGTGAGCCGCAGTCTCTGATGGAGATTGGACCTCGCTTCACACTTGAGCCAGCAGCCATTCTCAACGGCTGCTGCAAAGGTAGTGTTATTTGGAAGAGTGAGATGGCAAAGACGCCAACGGAGCAGCGTCGGGATAGGAAGACGCGCCGGCTTGAAAAGGTGCAAATGAACGAGGGCATTAAAGCAAAATCTGAAATGCATAAGGCGATGAATCCGGCACCGGAGCAAAACCCGCTGGACCTCGTATTCAAGGAGTATTGAGGTACTAAATCCCTTGACGGCCTCCTTCGCTTTCCTTTACTTTCCACCTGCAAGCGTGCTCGTTCATAACACCAACAACAACAACAGCAACTGCGTGGGAAATGAATGGAGTATTTGATAATAATAGTAATAATACTGATAAAGGTAATCAGAGGGGGAGGTGCCTGCCCTCCTTCAACGGTGCTGCTGTGCGAAGGAGAGAAATTGGGCCAGGCGGAAGACACGGTGGACGTCGCAGTGATGATGGCTGTTGTTGTGGTGGTGGTGGTGGGAAGTCGTTTAAAATGCGCGGACATATATATTTTTTTTATTTCCAGGCCGTCTGTGTCGCAAGCGTGTAGTGGAAGGCCATGTTTTTTTTCTTTTTTGATAAACTGGATGCGCTTGTCACTCCTTTTATATTATTATTTTTATTTTTATTTTTTTACCTCCCCACCTGTTTTGTGATCCTTGTCGTCTTCTTCCCAAGGGCAGGCGTGCGCCTGGATGCAGAGGGCAGGGGCGAGCAACCCAAGCGAGTTCCAGAAGAAAAGGAGAGGGGGGGAGGGAGGGGGAAGCAATTTAAACCGTAGGGAGTAGCGAAGGAGCCGGTGCTTTTTCAAGCTGCCGAGCGGATGTCGGGGACCCCGTCGACGAGGCAGGAGTCGATGGAGGCAAAACCGCCTCTGGATGCGGTGGCGCGGCCATCGAGGACAATATCGTTAAATCCAAGCGCAGCTCAGCAGGCCACGCGCGGGCTGCATTCTAAAAATTATTCCTATTTAAGCGAGAGTGCGTGGGAATCCCGTGAGAGCAACTCAGGGTATTACCAGGAGCAGCAGGCCGACGTGGACGAGGGTATACGCCACAACTTCTACCAGAGGCTCTACCGGTTTTACAAGGTGTATAACCCCCAAAAAATAGACCGCATCGACGAATATATTGCAGCTCACAAAGGGCAGGAGGAGATCCTCTTTGCGATACTGGTCCGAAAGTATGGTCCGGAACCCCAAGATACGGCACCCCAGTTAATGAATTCAACCTGCTCTACCGAGAATGCCTCAACTATGCTGCACGAAGCCGGTAAACGTTACACATTTCCTGTGTCTGTCTCTCCCCAACAAGGTAATACTGACTGCGAAACACCGTATTGGGGCAACTTTAACCTGATTGGCGAGCGCGATGTCCTGGGGTTGCTGTGCAACCTAGAGACCACGAATGAGGAGCTGCAAAAGTGCTACATTGGTATGCTAGCGCAGCATCCGAGTAGCTCATGGAATGGCATGACATACATTACACGTGCGAAAGGAGTGGCTCCAAGTGGGACGTCATTCTTAGGACATGTTTGGGCGGGCACTCTTTCAAGCGTAAAGCCGCTGGTTCATGGGGGTGCTGTGTATCAACGGACCGATTTGTATTGTACGGAGGAATGCCAGCGTGCTGGGCTGCACGAACGCTGGCGACTGAGTGTGTATAGTAATGAGGTGAACTCGCTTCATTTGTTTCGAGTAGTATGGGATCCAGTGATTGCCTTGGAGCCTCCCCCTCTTAGTCGATCAGCAGTTTCGTTGCCGTCCTCTTCGGAACAAGTTTCTTTGATGGGATCTAGCGCAAGCCGTTCCCGTTTTCGCAGTGAGGGGGCAGGGCAGCCGCGACAGCCCTCTGTGAGCGTTACATTGGCGGGCATCATGACAGCCCTGGAAAGAATTGAAGGAAAGTTGTGGACGCGACTGGATGCATTATACGCGAAAGTCTCCTCATTGGAGTCAAGGTTTTCTGCCTGGGAAGCTGCGTCGCAAACCAATGCCACCAGTTGAGTTTTGTTTCTGGTGACTCTAATAATAATGGTAACGCAATTAAAGGGACAATAAACTTCTTGTTTTATTTCCCCCCCCCTTTTTTTTTGTGTGCGGTGCTTTGTGTGACGCATTGCTGACGCCGATGAGTCTCTCCTTGAATGTTCTTACAGAGCTATGCAATGAGGGAAATCCGGGGGGGCTTCTCGCGCATTTCGGGAATATGAAGGAAATTGTGTAGTATTGTTCTTTTTTTTTTCCGCTTCAGCTTTTTAGGTTTTGAGGGGGAGTAGGCGTTTCTAGATGTCGGAGGATGCTTCCGCTAGAAGCTCCACAAAAGTCGTAGTTCACCACAAGATGGTTGGAATGCCCGTTTTTGATGGAGAATTTAGTTGCGACGTCAACACTGAGCTCTTTGCGGTACTGCAGAAAATCATTGAGAGTCACGGTGGCACAACAACCTGCGGCTGTTGCATGTGGCTGGGCCGGGTGGAACCAGGTCTAATAGTCCGCGATTTGCGCCAAACCCTGTTTGAGGCCTTTTCCCTGAAACACGAGTCCGTCTCATCTCTATCACTAGTCGATGGTGAGTTGGCGCATCACGTCATTGTGTATTACGATTACGACGCCCCTGCGACCTCCTGTCCCTTATTGAAATTGCACTTGGGGAGTTGCGGCACCAAGGAGAAGGCCAAAAGCTAAGCGTCTGCCAATGCTTCCCATGCTTTGCCCACAGAAGTAGTGATACGGTGAGGGGAAAAGCAATAACAGTGAGTACGTATATATATATATGTTTATTCATGAAATGGGCAATGCTCCTTTGAGCTACTTGCGTATTTGTTATGGGTTTTGCTAGCTTTTTTCTTTTTGCCTTGTTTCTATTTGCCCCTTCCTCTTTGTTTCACGTCCCCTCCATAGAGGTTTAGGGGGCCGAGGATTCAATGGGAGGAGACGGTCAAGCACTTGCAAATAAGCGTAGGCTTCTCGAAGACTCGAGGGTTTTCTTAACAGCCGACCAGCTGCGGAAGGTGGAGGGAAAGGCGCAGGGTGCGACACAGACCGAAAAGCAGCGGAGTGCGCAGCGATGGACACACTGCGCCCTGTCGCTTGAGCCGTTGGAATTTCCCGTTGTGTTTGATCTCTGCGGCCGGTTGTACTCCAAGCGGGCCGTACTAGACGAGCTGCTAGGACAAAGGCATCGACGTCCAACCAAGGAAAAATCTGAGGGGGAGAAACCAGTAATCGCGAGGCTTTCGGATGTCTGCGAGATTGCGGGCGTGGAGGACGGCGAGCGGCCGTGCATCCAATGCCCCTTGAGCGGATTTGAGGCGTCGTCAGGGCTCCACAAGTTCGTTGGATTTTGGGGCTGTGGACATGTCGTGTGCACCGCTTCCTGCTCTGAGCCGGCCGTGAAGCAGAGTGGGGTGCGCGACGCCACCGGCAGCGCTGCGCCAACGTTTGTTGCATGTCCGTTCTGTGGGGAGGAGAGCTTTCAGGTGCCGCTGATACTCGACACGGAGGCCGATGAAGTTGCTCAGTGGAAACGACTGCGTCCGCTGCAGCGCCTCGCCTGCAAACGTAGGCGATCGAAAGGCTAACCCCGCAATTCAACGCAAACGCACAAAGAAACGGAACGGCTGCTTTTGGTTGCCCGCGGTTCACGAGTGCTGGTGCGCAATTTGGAGTTTTTCTCTCCATTTCTCTTTCTCGTTGTTTTTTTTAGTTTGTTCTTGCTATCCTTCTCCCCCTCCCTTCTCTTTTTTTTCTTTTTTTTTCTTGTTATGGGCTCACACCTCCTCTTAGCTCCAAAAGGGACCACAGAGTGGATCAACAATGTCGCGTACGTGGTGCCCTGCCTTGAATAAGGATGCATCTCTGCAGCTTGATACGAAGCATCTACGCAAGAGGGCCAGTGCGCAGGGCAGCTGCATTTCTTCATCTTCGAGGAAATCCACGAAGGAGACTGCGGCTGTTGCGGCCGAATGTGGTGTTTCTGTGAATCAGTTGTCGACCGAGCTAACACAACGTGTGGGGTGCTGTATTTCCAAGTTCAGTGCCTGCGTCGTTGCCTCGAGGGCAAATATGGCTCAATGGCCGAGCTTTGAGGACTCCACTGTAACTGTCCTCCACCATGCAGATATTCCACTTGTGGCGCGAACAGAGGATGAGGCAGAGAGTTTAGTACCGAAAGAAATGCCTGTAATTGCGTACCATGCTTCGCATATACTAAAGGCACTAGCAGAATTAGAGGCGCTTCCCGATGTACAGCTGCCAGCTGACCAGATCGTGGATTTTATTACCTATGTAATGCGCTTGGAGTCTCGGCGGAAAAACTACAGTATATCGCAGAACATGCGGCGGGTGGCACTGATGCCCTCGTTTTCAGCGCCAGTTTCTCTCGCCGACGTGCTTGAGGCTTTGAACGTTAACCGTCGCATGTTGGAGCAATTACGTTCTATTGAACTTGCGGGGGAGTTCGAGGAGAGCACCGAAGACTCGGTGCTTGAGGAGTTTCTACAGGCAGCCCAGCACCTCGCCGTGCTAGATGTCCCGCACACGGCACTTGGCCAGGTGGCGCCGACATTGATACCGCTACTCAAGGCTTCGACGGTGCGGGTGCTTAACATGGAGGGGAATGAGTTGGGACTGGTGGCCAGCGAAGGCGACGTTATTACGCTTCTTGCGGAATACGTGAGGGAAAACAAGTTCCTGCTTCAGTTGAATCTCAACTACAACAACATACCTGGGAATGGCGCGCTGTTGCTCTTGGAGGCGCTGGCTGCTTCTGACACGAGGTTTACGCCGCAGGACATGCCGGACGTGGAGAACGAGGGAGAGGACGAGGAGGCGGAGGGTGAGGTTCTTAACGACCTCGATTTTTTCCTTCCCCACCGGGATGGGGACGAGGAAGAGGAGGAGGAGGAGGAGGAGGCGGAGGAGGTGTTCCAAGCCAGGACCATCGAGAAGCAGGAGACAAAGCAATCCCCCGACGAGGAGGAAGAAATGGGCGATGACGATGATGACGAAGAGGAGGAGGGGGACGAAGCTGGAGGCGAGGAAGCGCAGCCGGAGGGAGATGGCAGAGAGGAGGAGGAGGAGGAGGAAGAAGAGGAAGAAGAGGAAGAGAAACTTCCTCCCCACCTTGTGAAGAAGTTTCGGCGGCTCTTTCAGAGGTTGATGCGCGAGGAGAGGGAACAGCGTGTCCTTTGCGTGACTACATACGTGAGTGAGGCAGCCGCGCTACAGAAGGAACACGAGGCCATTCGGACCGAACTCGCAAATGAGAGGCGTGCCAGGATCGAAAAATACTGCCAACGCCGCAGTGGCTGGTCACACTTGCAGGTGCTTCGGCTGCGAGGCAACCCTATCGGGAATGCAGGAGCAACGGGCGTGGCGACGGTGCTCCGGCATGAGGTGAGCCTGGGAGAGGAGGAGGTGGAAAGTATTCAAGCGGAGCTCCTTGGCAAGGCAGACGATCTTCTTAGTGAGCTGCTTTCAGGCAGGGGGAGTGTCGCTACCGAAGAGGTGGAAGACAGGCGACGGCTGTTAAGTAGCCATCGCACTGCCTGGTCTGCACTGAAAGCAGCCTGGGCGGGGAAGTCGCAGACAGAGAAGGCTCCTGGTGCCGGCGTGTCGCCGCACCGATCCTCACTTCGATCTTCAACAGGCGTGGCGGTGGTTGGAGATGCGGACGGTGCAGACGGGGAAGAAGATTTGGAAGATGCTGAAGGTGAGGAAAACCAAGATGCTCAAAATGACGCGATGATGCATTCAGCAGGGGACGTCGGCTTCGTTGACGACGTGGACGAGTTTGTGGAGGAGGACGCGGCGCAGCTGGAGGAGGCGCGTGGGAACTGGGAGATGCCGTTTCCTCCCACAAAACGCGGTCTTCAGTCTCTCCGTCTGCTTGATCTCTGCAGTTGCCAAATTGGGAGTGTAGGACTCAAACGCATCGGCGAGGTTCTCTGCGAAAACCAGTCTCTGGAGATTTTGTTGCTGCGGAACAACCACTTTGCTAGGAAACGGGTCGCACTTCACGCCGCCGAGGAGGACGCAGAGGAGGAGGAGGCCACGAGACGTGTGGACGTCCCACAGTACGTGTCTCCTGGTTGCATCGCGCTCTTTGGAGCGCTCACGACAAATTCGACGCTCACGGTGCTGGATCTCGCATACAACGGCCTCTACCCAGAGAGCATCCGTGCTCTGGCAAAGGCGTTAACGTCCAACACGACACTCCATTCGCTTGCGTTGGAGGGAAACTGCATGGGGTTCGATGAGTCTCCGTACCAAATGGACCCCGCCGTGATCAAGGCAACGGGGTATCCAGTGGATGTCAGCATCCTGTCAAGACCTTCATGCTTTCTGGAGTTGCTTAAGGCCGTTTCGGAGAGTGGCATCAGTACATTGCTTTTAGGCCAGAATGATCTCGCGCAGTGCTGGGCTTCTGAGGAGGTTGCGTGGTTGGCGAGGCTCTGCTGCCGACTTCAAGTCCTGCATCTGAACGGAAATGGCTTGACCGCAGAACACCTCACACAGTGGGCGGATGCCATACAATCTGATATGAATTTCACGCTAAAGGATTTGCAGCTGTCACGAAATAACCTGCAGGGCGAGAGCGGAGGGACCGCTTTGGGACGCATCCTTGATCGTTGCAAGGGGAGCTTGCAGAATCTTATGCTCGATGAGACGGAACTTGGCTCCGCAGGTGCGGCGGCTGCGTTTGCGGCTTTTGAATCCTCTACACTACAATCACTGAGCATGCAGAGGGCCGGAATAGTGTCTGCGGATGCCTTTCCTTCTGCCGTACTCGCTCCGCTTCGTCGTCTTGTTGTTTCGGACAATCCTTTCAGGTTAAACGAGATGCTGGGCCTGATGGATGTACTGTGTGGCACTGCATCCGAGCTGATGTGCTTGTCAATATGGAGTCGCGAGTTATTGATGGAAAAATATCTCCCCGAACTGCAGGAAAAGGTGCTCCAGATGCCACGACTCCTATTTGTAGACTTTGGTGTACTGAAGCGTTTTGACGACGCGGTGGATGCCGATGACCCGCTTGGTCAGCTGGAGGCTATCATTGTCCGGCGTCACACGTCACGAGTGGCTGGCGGTGTAGCGACTTGCGAGGCGTAATGTGATCAGCTCCTCTTTTTTTTTTCCTTGGTTCGGCCTTTTGCGTCTCCTTTTCTCTCCATCCCTGTATGCGTGTGTGTATGCTCTTCGTATGTACAGTCAAGGCTTATGGCTTTTGGCTCGCCTCTTTGCTTCCTTTTTTTTTGTTGAGAAATATTATGTACATGTGTCAGCGTCGTCAGCAACCTCAAGACGGAGGCGGGGGTGGTGAGAAATGAATCTGCCGGAGGAGCTTTTGCAGGTGGAACGCTCTTGTGTCTGTGCATGTGTATTTGGAGTCTAACAAAAGCCTGTTACTGTGCTTAGGAGCGTTCCTGGGGCTATTTTTTCCCCCCTATTTTCTGCATGCTCTATCTGTCTGAGTGGCCAGTATAGATAAATAATCACATCTATATATATATATATATATTGAGTGGGCACAGCATCAAGCAAAGGATACTTGCAGTGGGTCATGGCGAATTGCAAGTACGACTGTGTGACGCTCCATAACGGGGTGCGGATTCCGCAGCTTGGCCTGGGGGTCTGGCGGGCGGAGGACGGGGCCGAGACTGCCAATGCTGTCCGCTGGGCGATTGAGGCGGGCTACCGCCACATCGACACGGCATACTTCTACATGAACGAAAAGGGTGTGGGGCAGGGCATCCGTGACTCGGGGGTGCCGCGTGAGGAGGTGTGGGTAACGACAAAACTCTGGAATTCAGACCACGGCTACGACAAGGCGCTCGCGGCGTTTGAGCGTAGCCGTGGGTTGCTGGGCCTGGAGTACATTGACCTCTTCCTAATCCACTGGCCGGGGAAGAGGAAGTTTGTCGAGACGTGGAAGGCGCTGGAGAAGCTCTATGAAGATAAAAAGGTGCGGGCAATTGGCGTCTGCAACTTTGAACCACACCACCTCACTGAGCTCTTCCAGGACTGCAAGATCCGGCCGATGGTGAACCAGGTGGAGCTCCACCCGCAGCTTCAGCAGCACGCCGTGCGGGACTTCTGCAGGCGGCACAACATTGCCGTCATCGCCTGGTCGCCGCTTGGCAAGGGAGCCCGGAGCGGCATCCTGCAGAACCCCCTGCTAGGGGAGATAGCCAAGAGATACAGTAAATCCCCGGCGCAGGTCATCATCCGCTGGGATCTTCAGCATGGCATTGTGGCAATCCCCAAGTCGACGCACCAGGGCCGCATTAAGGAAAACTTTAACGTTTGGGACTTCAGACTTAGTGAGGAGGAAATGCGTCAAATCGATAGCCTCAATGAGGATAAGCGCCTTGGTGGGCACCCCGATGAATTTTTCCCCGATGGAGAAGAATGAGAAGGGGTCCTTTGATTGTTGTTGTATTGACTTACTATTACTAATGATGATGGCTCTGTTTCTTCTTATTTTGGGACCTGGGAGGTCGCTCTGCAGGAAAAGGACAAAAAAGCAACAGAAACAGCAGGGGAAAGAACGTTGCTGAAAAAAAAAAACCTTTTTTTTTTTTACCTATTCTTTTATTGTCTCCGGTGTCCCAGTTTGTCGCCGTCTCGCGAAGGTATGGATGGAAAAAAAATGAGTTGGACCCTCTCATATATTGCCAATTTTATTTTCTACATACGTATATATTATGTGTATGTGTATGTGTGTGTGTGTGTGTGTGTGTGCTCCCCCTGTAGATACCGCTCCGTTAGTTTAGGCAAATCTTGGCTTGGCGGAGCAAAGCAGCTCTTGAAGTCTTGTGGACACCGACCGGTGAATGTGCAATGCTTTTCCCCCCTCACTCCTCATCATCTTTGCCTGTTTAAGTGACGGAGATGCGGCGGCGTCGCCTCTCCTACCTTTCTCTTATCGGCACCCTCACGCTGCTCCTATTGGTTGACTTCATAGTTAGGAACTTCGTGACGGATGACGCAACGGCTAGCGCTAACGTGACGGCTCACCCTCGGGTGCTCTCTCCCCACCCTATCGGCTTGCAGCCTGCGTCTTCCTCGCATGCATCGGCATGTACACGTTTTTTGTATAGAGCTCCTACAAGGGAGTTGGCGGGCAACGGCCGTGCGTTGCTTGCGTTGCTACTTACGAGTTTACAGTACCATGGCGTGGCGCGCTTGAAAGAGACGCTTCCCACTTGGATGGACAACTTTTTGGTGGCGCAGGGTAATGTGGATCTGGCGATTTTCTACGCTTATTCCACAGTAACTGCTGCACAATTGGTAGATACATTTGGCCTCGCAAAGGCTTCAGAGGGGCAATTGACATCCCTTGAGGTTAAATTCCGCGAGTTGCGGGCTGACGTCGCCGCGGATGTTTCCCTGACGCCAGAGGAGTGGACTTCCCTGGGAGATGGATATTATTACTTGCCGCGCGTGCAGCCAATGGTTGTGTTTCGTTTGGTGCCCGTGAACTTGACCTTTCCGCGCTACATTCAGGCAAACTGGTCGCTGCTGGAGGATCCCACGTGGCTGCGTTGTGGCTGTCCACCGTTCTGCCCGGTTCACCGGTCACCACCGGAGTATGTTCAAGGCACACGATGGTATTCGCACGCTCTCTTTGAACAGCCGATTGTGCGGCGCTACAGTTTCTGGGTGAAGCTGGACGTTGACGTGGCATTCTTTCGGCCGCTGCAGGACAACCTCGTGCGGCTGCTCCTGTCAAGTGGCCGGCTGCTGGGGCACACAGGCTACACCTACAACGGCCACGGCTGCAGTGACGAGTTGCAGAAGGCGATAGGGGAGTTCCTGGCAGGTTACGGCGCACAGGCAGTGAGCGCCGGCCAAGGCTGGTGGTTGTCCGATGACCGAACGTACTACACCAACTTTGTTGTGGGCTCCGTCAACTTTTTCCTCCAGCCGGAGGTACGGGAATTGACGGCGCACCTAAACGAATACCGTGACGGCTTCTTTAAACACCGCTGGACGGACCAAAGTCTTCTTCACAAGCTGCTGGGCGTCTTTTGCGGCCCGGACGAAGCGAATTTCTCCCTCAACTGGGAGAAGCTGCGGTGCTCAAAGAAGCGTACCACACCGGATGCCGTGTTTTACCACAGCAAGCGAAAGAAGCGAATCCGTCCAGGGAGGCCTTGTCGAGCGTGAACGGCAAGACCTCACTCCCCCGCCGGACGCCAACCACTCGCAAGTGAGAGCGGAATGAAAACCAAACTTCATCCGCCAGCCCCAAAGGAACCAAACAATCACAGGCAGCAACCAACTCGCTGGGGCAGGAGGAACAAAAATTAAAAAAAATTCTATCGAAGTACCTTTGTGCATCTACTGCCTTTAATTATTGAGCAGTTATCGTCTGTGAAGGCTTGTAGGTACAGGCATGACTTTCTGTTTTGGTTTTATGTTCCTTTTAATTTCCCTCAGCTGCTAGTGCAACCCAAGAATGGCTGACGCCCAACCCGCACCTTCTGGTGAGCAGCGCGGCTTCGGCCGGGGCCGTGGCGGCCGTGGTGGTCGTGGTGGCCGTGGTGGTCGCGGTGGCCGCGGTGGCAGCAACGAGAAGGAGGAGTGGGTCCCTTGCACGAAGCTGGGACGCCTTGTGAAGGAGCAGAAGATAAACTCGCTGGAGGAGATCTTCCTCTTCTCGATGCCCATCAAGGAGCACCAGATTGTGGACCAGCTCATCAGTGAGAGTGAGATGCGCGACGAGCTGATGCTCATTGTCCCTGTGCAGAAGGCGACGTCGGCCGGCCAGCGCACGCGCTTCAAGGCCTTCAACATTATTGGCGACGGCAACGGCCACATCGGTGTCGGCGCGCGCGTCGGCAAGGAGGTGTCGCTGGCCATTCGCGCCTCGATGGTCGCGGCGAAGCTGAACATTGTTCCCGTGCGCCGCGGCTACTGGG